GTTCTCTCAGCCCCACCTACTTCGCAGGGTGTCTGTTGTGGGGAGGGGAAGGGAAAGGTGTTTGTAAGCCGCTCTGAGACACCTTTGGGTAGTGAAGGGCGGGGTATAAATCCAATCTCTTCTTCTTCTTCTTTTAAATCAAAATTAGTGCCAATCAGTATTAACAAAGCAGAACAAGAAGAAATACAAAAGCTATATCATTATCAATGGAGTACAACAAATCTAAAATATTTAGGAATTCAATTAACACCAGAATCAAAGAATTTAATTCAATATAATCATCATAAGACATATAGATAAATTAAAAAAACCCAAAAGGGACAAATTCCCTTTGTCATAGATGGATAGATATAATTTAATTAAATCATGCTTACTGCCGAAATTTATATTTCTTTTTAGAGCAATACCAATATCATCTATCCAAATTAAGGAATTGTAAGATACTGTAATAAGATTTTTGTGGGCAAACAAAAGACATAGAATTAATGCTCAAACGTTATATAGACGCCACAGTACAGGGGACTTTCAATTACCCAATTTACAAGACTATTAGAATACAATACACCTAGCTAGGATCATAATAATGATGCAAGAAGAAAATGGACTGGGTTCAAATTTATAATAAATACACTCATCCATACACTATAATAGAAACTATATGGCAAAAAAGAAAAGATAGACTAACGAAAATTCAACAAAACTTCTTTTAGCATCTCTAGAGTTATGGGATTTATTGAGAGCTAGATTTGTACATGAGTCCTCTAGGTTTTCATCATTTTTAGTTCACACTTGGTATATCCCAGGATTAGAAACAACGGAATATCAGAGATGGTGACCAGCAAAAATTACAAAATTAAAAGATTTAATAATACAAAAGCAAATAATAGAAAAGAACACAATTGCAGCTAGAATAGGGAAAACATCTCAGCTACAATATCTGCATATCAAACACCTCTGTGTAATTCAAATTACCAGTAATAATCAAACAACCTTTAATGAGTTTTGAACTGATTATACAATGAATGGCAAACAACAAGAAGGATTATTAAGAAATTACGTCAAATTATGCTAAAACTAAGCTGATATGTTAATTATATTCCTAACATATCAGATTAGATGGGGCAAAGAATGTGATGGCATCCTCAGTTTTAGTGATGAGACTGCAAAATTTAAAAATAATGACGTTTTGGTACCCTTTTACAATTATCGCATGTTAATAAGGAAATACAACCATATTGTTGGGAAAATTGTAGAGAGAAAGGTTCTTATATGCACTGTTGGTTGCTTTTTCCAAAAATAAAAGTGTTCTGGGAAAATGTACTGGAAAGAATAAGTTATTACAGATGTAAAAATTCCAATGAGACCAGAAATTTTATTACTAAACTTCAGAGAAGAAATTATATATATATACACACACTAGGAATAAGGCCCATTGTGGAAATAAATACAACAAACTCTAGAAAGAGGCTCTGAGAGAGTGCCAAGGCCTTGGGCACTCAGCATCAATGTGCTGTGGCGACCTCAGCAGGGTATAATGACACAGAGTCCACCATTTTCTCCAGAGGAACTGATTTCTGCTACCTGAAGAGCAGTTGTAATTTTGAGTGATCTCCAGCCCTGACTTGGAGATTGGCAGCAATTGTTACCCAGAAGGAACTGGCTGGTCTGGAGGGTGGAGTCTATGGTATTGTACCTGTCTGAGGCCCCATCCCTCCTCAAACCTCACCCTCTCCAGGCTCCACCCCTCAAATCTCCATGAATTTCCCAACCTGGAGTTGGCAATATCTCCTTCCCAGCCAAGCATCAACCTGCCATTTTCTGCCCCTCTGTTTCAGCCTTGCATCTCCTCCCCCCTCCCTCTTGGAGATCAGTTGTAATTCTGAGTGATTTCCACCCCTCTCCTGAGATTGGGAACAGTGGTTTCCCCAGAAGGGAATGGCTGGTTGGAAGGGTGGAGTCTATTACATTGTACCAGTCTGAGGTCCCACCCCTCCTCAAACCTCACCCACGCCAGGTTCCATCCCTCAAATCTCCAGGAATTTCCCACCTGGAGTTGGCGATTCTATCTCCTTCCCAGCCAATCATCAACTGACCTTTATTTCCCCCTGTCTCTTCAACTTTCCATTTCCCCACACACACATACCTGCAGCCGCTCCCGTGCTCTGAAGCCC